GGGAGGAAATAATGTGTGTCCTCATTTGTCACAAATAAAGACCCAGAAAGGCCTACATCTACACTAATTGGCTTTGAACTTCCTTTGGCCAAATGAGAAAAGATAAACACAGAGCAATGGTAGAATCTCAGCACCACTAGAGAACACGCAGATGTCTCAAAGCGACACACTGCTACCACTGAGGGAGGCCAGAAAGAAATATCTCATTTGCCAAATATAAACAGGGTCTCAAATATCAGTGTAAGTGTGATAATTTGGGAAAGGACCCTCGACTCTTATCTTATAACGATTTTTTCTTTTTTCTTTTTGTGAGTCATCTATTTGTTTCTTTTACTGTATGTGTGTCGGTGTGGTGCCCACAGAGGCCTAAGGAGGGTATCAGACCCCTTGGAACCAGAGTTACAAGAGGTTATGAGGCATCTAACCTGAGTACTGCAAAACAAACTGGGGGCCTCTGCAAGCACAGTACTCAGTCTTAGCCAGTGTCCTGAGCCCCGGCTATCCTGGAACTCACAGAGATTTGCCTGCCTTTGCTTCCTGAGTGCTGGGAGTAAATGCCTGTGCCACCACACTTGGGTAAAATGTATTTTCAAGGAGGAGGCCACCATTATTAGGATCATTTACCTTCCAGAAATCTGTCTTTGAGAAACACAAGGGGGGGACCTTCTGTGATCTAGCAGGGGTTATTTTTTGGGGGGAGGGAGGTGCTAATTTTCCTAAGAACATTTAGGTAGGCCCCACAGAGGAGAGGGATACAGCGTCCTCCAGGGCCTGGCTGACCATGAAAGAGGGCTGTGCTATGAGATCTGAGCTTCAGAATCATGTCACATATCCCCATTAAACCAGCCAACCTTGCCAATGCGTGAGATCACCCACGGAGCCAGGCTTCCAAATTCGAGCCCACTACCACGCTTACATAAAACAATGTTCATCACCATGTTTACCTCAAGACACAATGAGCTTTTCCACCCACCCTACGCCACTGTAAACAGCAGCAGAAGCCCAAGGGGACAGCTCAGGAGACATGATCTGCCTGGCCTACTTAAAACAACAAAACAATCCAGAGCCTTGCACTTGAGCTGCTCCACAATCCCATGGGGTTCCTGGAACTCTAGTCTGGCTGGGAAGCCTCCAGAGAATTCTGGATACATCTAATGGGGTAGAGGCGTTTCCCAACTGTGCTGTAAGTCTAGAGCAATTCTCAAAGACTTCCAAAGAGAAGGATTTGGGAGACAGAGGTGTTTTATAAGCAATCAAAATATTTCCCTTTCCTTTCCTATTTTTCCGTAATACCATTGGTAACTTATATGCGGGGGGGGGGGGGGGGGGGGGAAGAGTGCACAGTAGTGACAGAGGTCTGTAGACTTTCACCACTGACCTGAGTCCTGAGTGTGAGGCTTGCTTCCCACACTTAGTGCCTGGGCAGCTTCTCTAATCCTGGCTTCTGAAACGCCACAATGACAATAATAATAGTCCTTGCCTCAAAGCCTTTAAAATTAAACACTGCGTGTGAGTGTTTAACGCACAGTGAACGTCAGCTACTATTACTGTCGAGGAGCTGGGGATCCTCAGCCAGCACAAAGAGAAGCAAAAGCAGCTCTAGCCCCTCCCCCCATCCATCCCAAAGCATATAATTCCAGTTGTCATGGGCGTATTTTCAAAGAGTAAAAGGATAGTACTTTCTAATCCATAGCTTGCTACTTAAATTCACCCCTGTGCTCTGAGCATCTCCTGTGTGATTCAGTATTATGTACAGCACAGTGTTTAAAAGTCAGGTAGCATGCCGCTAGGTGAGTTTACTTTTTGACAGTAAAAAGTAACCCCTGCCTTCTTCTCTTCGATGTATGTCCCACACCTTCTATATTCCTAACACGTTTGACTCAGCCAGATGGTGGCTACTTTCTCCTGGCTGCTTGGAGATATGGCCTCCACCTCACTCTCCAACCTGCCCATCCTGAAGTCAAGGCCCTTCTGTGGTCTTCTGACATCGCCAGCATCCTGTACCCATGCTTGGCCAGCCTTTGCTGCTGGATGTGTGGCTGACCAGTCTGTTTAACTACATTAATTTGATGAGAGGAGCAAAATGGAACCTTGCCAGATAGGCAGGTTTTCTCCAAACAATGTAAGGTTGACTTCCAGGATATTAAATTCAGATTAGAAATTCCCAGGAAGAGGAAGAGACTGAAGATTCATATCAGGGTGCATTGTTTGTCTAAGCGGCCAGGCCATGCAAGTTCACGGCTTAAGGACTGGCAGTTAAATGAAGGAGGTCCCAGCATTTCATAGACGTTATGAGAACACCAAGAAAGCCTTACTGAGTGATACAAATATGAGACTGCCAAACTGTGCAGAAGTGACTTATCCTATTTAAAATAAGCCCTCCCTTATTTTCAAGGAATTCAGTTTTTAAAATCTTTTTATTTAGTCTTTTACAAAGAGACACATATATAAAACATACTTTGGTCATCTCTCTCTCTCTCTCCCTCTCTCTCTCATTGTTCTCTTATCTCCTCCCTCCTTCCCTCTGCCCTTCTTCCCAAGTGTCCCTCCTACCCCATCTCTCTCTCTGTCTTCTTCTGTCTCTTTGCCTCTCTCTGCTTCTCTCTATCTCTTTCTCTTGTCGGTGTGTGTATGTGTGTGTGCCTGTGTGTAGGTTCATTTCATTGCACTTTATCAGGTTTGTTTGTTCTAGCACGGGTAAGGGTTTATTTACTTGAGTAATAGCAATTTCCCAATAATTACACCACTGGGGCATATCCCCTAGAAATCAATAATTGTAGCTCCCCAGGAAAGGGTGAGTGAGGTCCCTCCCCACCCTTGATGGACTGCTGATGGGCAGCTTTGTGCAAGTGCCCTTACTGCTGCTGTGACTTCATAGATATCATCCTTACCATGTTCAGAAAAATAAGTTTTCTTAGCATGCCTCCCCATCCTTCGGTTCCTCCATTCTATTTGCCCTCTTCCATCAAGTTTCCTGAGCCTTGCTGGGAATGACACAGATACCTCATCAACAGTCCCTTATTCTCAGTTATGAGTCTCTGCATGTTCTTTTAAATCTTTATTTATACACTGCCCTGCTTTAAAATATTGTTTGCAGCATGTGCTATGATCGCATTATTGTTTTACAGAAAGAGAATAGCTCAAGTCCTTCAGAAGCATGCATTCTTAGGGGTTAGCTGAAGGACCTGAGTTCAGATCCCCAGCACTCACGTAAATCATTCAATTTGGCAAAAACTGGGCATGCCTGGACAGACACAGGATGCTTTGTGGGGTTTGCCAGTCTATTGGGAAAAACAATGAGCTCCAGGTCCAGCAAGAGACCCTGTCTCAAGGGAATGAACAGAGGGGGGTTGAACAGGACACTCAACATCCTCCTCTGCCCTCCACAGATCTGTGCACACACAAACACACCACACACATACCAACACACCCTCAAGAAACAAACAGAAGCCTGTATCCGTTGCGTACTGAGAGGTACCCCGTTCCCCTTCAGTTCCTCACATAGCTCAGCCCTGGGCAGCTCGGATTCTGAGTGGGTTAGAAGCAGAATTAGACAATCAACCTCACCCAGTCCCTAAAACACAGCCAGAGTGACAACAAAAATGACTCCATCTGTGTGGTTCCCTGCAAGATTCAGCAGGCTTGTCTGAAGCACCCAGAAAACCAAGCCTGTCATGGAAACATTGATTCAGTCGTAATGAGAACCGACATAAAAACCACACAAATGAACTAAACAGCTCTTTCACCCAATCAGAGCTCAGCTGAAGCCACAGCCACAGGGTTAAAGTGTGCCGTCCTTTCTGTCTGTTCGGATGTGGCGCCTCTTCCATCAGTCTTTTACTTGTTTGCACGACTCCTACTCAGGGGAGAGAAAGTGGAAGGGAGGCCAGAGGGAATGACAACAACCTTCCTGCCCAAGCATGTCAGGCAAATTAAAGCCTCTGGCCTGGGGGAGGTGGTAATAGCCGGTTAGAGGAGCCTAAAAAACAAAACTAACACAGTTGAGTAGAGACTGAGGTCCTTACTTTCCAAAGAGCATCTTCTGCATGGCATTTTTATTAATTCTCAGTTGTTTTTTTGTTTGTTTGTTTTGTTTTCGTTTGCTCACTATGTGGCGGCAGTGGAGTGGGGATAGTGAGTGCCAGGGTACTGTACAATGTGGGGGAGGGGATTTTCTCCTCATCCTTAGGTCCCCAGCAACGCAACTCAAGTAGTCAAGGCTTGACAGCGATCCTCTTTACCCCGTGAGCTACCTCACCAGCCCGGAACAGAATTTATTTATTTACTTTTGACTAGCATTCTGTTTTTCTTCATGAGCTTCGCTGTCTAACTAGAGCAACTGTCACTGATGGGGGACGTACAGTTGTAAAGAAAGCAGACGGATAGACAACCAGCTATCTAGGTTGGGTGTTACCGAACCATAGAAACAGTCCTTCTGCACCCGCAAAGCCCACATACCAAATCCCGGCGCAATCACTGCAGCAGCAAATATCGGGGCAGGGTGTACCCAAGCCTGTGCGTGACCCCTTGGCCTGGCTGGCTTCGCCTGGCTGGTCATCTCTGAGTCAAGAGGGGATGGAGGTGAACCCAGATGTGGGAGTGGACAGGACCACCAAGAACGGAACCAGGAAGACTGCGCGGGAGAAGGGGGGTGGTTGGAGTGGGGGTGGGGAGGGTCCCGCGTCCCGAGGGAGCGCTGCCCTGCCGATAGGGCTGATGCCTAGGTCTGGGTGGCGAGAACTTCGAGTAGGTTTCTACAGTCCCCGCCCGTCTTGCTCACGAACCTGACTGTCCCGTGCAGTTGGACTTTTCTTTCTTTGCAATCAGGCCCAGGACAGAGAGAAGCCGGCGGGGCCCAGCCCCTCGCCGCCCCGGACGCCAGTGGGGAGTCGAGGACGGGGATGTCCCCGCCCTCAAACTCCAGCGACCCGGAGCTACCCCACCCTGAAGAAATGCTCCCCCAAGCCTTCTCCGGGCTGTCCCTGGGGTGGTTCACTCACGGGCAGCGTGGCTGGGGCTCCGACTCAGGCCGCGGCCATCCACACAGGGAGGAGGTGAGGGGAGAAGGGGAGGGAGGAGGGGAGGGAGAAGAAGAGGGAGGGCCCTGGCTACTGGGGGTGGGATGAGGGGGGCGGCCACCGCTGGGGCACTCCTCCAGTCCCCGCCTGGCTTCCCCTATGGTACCCTCCTTTCTTGCTCCTTTCTCCACCCTAGATCCCCCATCCCACACACAAGTTTTTCTGGAATGAGACTGGACCTTCGCTTCCCTCCACAAGTCAGCTGTCCAGGACAAGTCTGTAGTCCCCCCCAAAGGAAGCTGGAAAGGAGTCACCAACTTTTCCTGAAAGCCTCTAAGAGGACCTCCTCCTTTGCTTCCAAAGTAGAAGCATAACGGGTCCTTCTTCCTGGGTGAAATTCATACTTACCGGCGCACAGATGACCAGGTGAGCGTGTCAAGGGTCAAGCGGTGCAAGCGGTAGGAGTTCCACAGCGCCTCAGGCGTGCCTCCTGGAGAAAGCAGGCGAGGTGAGGAAGAGATGCCAACCTCAGCAGCATCTGGGGTTTCCAGCGTAGCACACCCTCTACTCTGTCGCCTGGGAACAAATGGCTCTCAGAACACCCCAGCCTCTTTCTCAAGGGACACTGAAGGAGTCACAACAACAACACGAAAAAATGGAGGTAGGGCACCCTTTTTCCAGGAAGGATACCGAATCCCAGAGTGGAGACTTGAGTTGGATTGGCTAGGATGTGCAAGGAAGAAGGACATTCCAGGCTCTAGCGTGGTTTGAAGTATTTAGGAGAGGTGGAAAAGGCTCACTGGAGGGTGAAGCATTAAAGAAATCATGAAGGTTTTGTTTGTTTGGTTGGCTTTTGCTTTTTTCGAGACAGTGTTTCTCTGTGTAGCCTTGGCTGTCCTGTACTCACTTTGTAGACCAGGTTGGCCTCAAACTCACAGAGATCCACCTGTCTCTGCCTCTTCTGGGCCTATAGGACTGTGCCACCGCACCTGGCTTCATTAAGCAGAAAGTATTTTGATTCCAGTAGATCTCCATTCACTTTTGTATTCCCCAGGATGGACACTTATGGGGCGCCCAGGGAATCCTCCTGGACTCAGAATATCAGTGGAGGAATGCCAGTCTAGTGGTCTGCAAGATGAACTGCTTGGGAAGAGAACTTGTGTGCAAACCAGGAAGGCTGATGAGCCTGAGGGTGGACTGGCAGGTGAGAGGAAGCTGCAATTCTGGTGAAACATCTCCCTGAATTCATACAGTAGTGGGATTCCTCTTAGAACACTTTTCCTGGTGTAATCTTTGTGGCCTTAGAAAACTTGGTAAAATGGGAAAGACTCATACAATCTGCCCAACCAACCAGTAAGATTTAGGGAGGAAACAGACCTCCAGAGAGGGCACAGGTATGCCTGAAGCCACACAGTTGAACACGCTTGGGATAATGTCATGCTCTGGTAAGATTTCTGTGTTTATGCTTAGAGCATAACACAAACAGTAGAAATAAACAAAAGCAGGAGTGTGTCACCTTCCCATCACCAGAACATTGGAAGTAAAATACTTGAAGTAAAACATTGGAAGTAAGAAAACTTGAGTGGGGAGGGTAGAGGGTGTTCTTATCGAAGCCAACGGGAGCTAGTCAGCCTAAGAAGGTGGGGGAGTTAAGAGCAAAAGGGGGAGAGGCATACAGAAAACAAACCAAAACAGTAGCACCACTACAGCAGCTTTCTGAGGCCGCCTTTTTAACTGTGTCATCTTTGAAACAAGCAGGATGGCCTCCATTAGTGGGGTTGCCCAGCTGGTAAAAGGAATCTCATGGAAATTTTGCCACTTTCTAGGAGCAAACAGACTTGTAATTTTCTAAAGACTACTCCAGTTGGTTGAAAATTGTTCTGTTTTTTAAATAGAACTGCCCTCCCCTTCTATGACCCACTCTGGAGATCGTCACTCTCCTGAACGCAGAGCTCTTTCTCCTAACTCCAGCACTACCTCCTCTGGCAGTTAAAAGCTGGTGGTGAAGCGCTTAGCCTATCCTCAGCTCAGCCATGGCAGCCCTGTCACCAGCTGGGGCCGCGTTCTACTCTGCTCCTCTTCCCTGTTGCACAATAAACAGACCCTCAGAGGACATCCTTCTCCTTTTTATTCAGGGCTTTTCTTTTCCCCAACAGCCTTTTCTTGCAACCACTGAGAACGTTCAAGGAGATCCCCAGTACACACAGCAGTGGGATTCTGTTTTTAAACACTTTCTCTAATCTTGGCTTTGTGACCTTGGAAAACCTGGTAAATGGAAGAGATACTAAACTAGCCTGTCCAATCATTGGGATTCAGAGAACTCAGAACTCAGTATCACAAGGAGATTCCCCAAAGTTTCTGTGGGTAGGACCTGGTAGATACCTTAGAATTCTTCAAAATCCAAGTCAGCTTAAGCTATTAAGATCAACATATCTTCAAGAGGAGGGCCAGGCTTGGTCTCAAATGGTTAATGAGAACATTACTCCTCTCTCAAACTTTACAACAATAGTGTCTTTTGGATGACAAAAGCCATTCAAGAAGTGATGGCTTTAGGGAAACTGTATTGAAGAAGAAAGCACTTGAACACAGACATTTCACATGCATGGAGCTTTCTGAGATGACCTAGGCTACAGCTCAGTGTCCTTTTGTGTGGAAATTCAAATTCACTTTGGACGGGAATTTCCTGAGCTAAAAAGTCTACATCTTCACTGAGAATGGATTGAGAGCAAGCATCTGAGTTCCAAGCAGCCAGCAATCAATAGTCTTTTATCACGAAGATGACACCCCTGGCATTGCTTGAGCTACACAGACCAGTGGCTACACTTGGTCCATGGCCCCCCGTACTTAAGACATATCCAATGAGTGTTTGTGACTGCCTTCTATGTACAAGATACCCTGCTGTGCAGCAAAAGTCTAAGTCAAAGAATTTGTCCAATTAGCCCAACTAAAGAGTGACCTAAAGAAATACAGGAAATATAGGAAAGATTGTGTAATGACACATGCCTATAGCACTATAGCTAAAGAAGGAAGATCATAAATTCAAGGCCTAGCAAGAAGGAAGGGAAAAGTGGGAGAGAGGGAGGGAAGGAGGAAGGGAGGCAGGCCAAGGAAGAATATTTTTTTAGTATTTGAGCAGGATGTGACTGACATTCTTTTGTTGACTGGATTATGCTGTTTCTATTCTTGGGCCTCAAAGATTTCCCTCCTGGACCACTACTGTACTTGTGGTATTTGGGAAAGCAGTGGAGTGGAGCTCAGGAGTGATTAAAGCCCCCAGTAAAATAAACACGGAGACTCCAATTAGGGCGTTGCCTTTTGTGGCCCTCCACTGACAGGCTCCACTATGCTTCCTCTGCTGAGTTTTCCTAGTCTTTTCATGGAGAGTTGGTCAAACGGTCTCTTGTCTTTTCTTCCACAGATTCAGTAAAGCAGAACTGCAATTGCCAGCTAGTCTCCTAATTTGGAGCTAATTACTAAACTGCTCAGAAATGTAAGGCAGAGGAATCTGCGGTGACAGGCTTGCTATTCACCACCATGGTCTCTGAGGACACGGCTTTCCACCAAGAACAGAAACTTCCTCTGCAAACACAGAACAGACAACCCTTTGCTGGCATGGCTCTTGGGTGTTTCCTCAGCATCATCTACCATTGTCTTCTTGTCAAAGTTATGGAGAAATCTGAGACCTTTTAAACCTGGGGAAGGCTGAAGAGATGGCTGAGCAGTTAAGAGCACTTGCAGAGGACTCTGGCCCAGGTCTCAGCACTGACATGGTTACACACAACCATCCATGACTCCGGTTCCAGGGAATCAGCTCTCTCCTGACTTCCTTCTATGGTCACCGAGCAAGCACACGGTGCATACATGCAGGCTAGCCCTCGTGTGCATAAAATCAAATAAATAAATCTATGAAATACTGTTTTTAGACCTGTGTTTTGTTTTGTTTTGTTTTGAGAACTGAGGACTGAACCCAGAGCCTTATGCTTGCTAGGCAAGTGCTCTACCACTGAGCTAAATCCCCAGCCCTGAAATACTGTTTTTAAAGACCAGGGCCAACCTCAAGGGCTAATGCGGCATAACTCAGAATTATAAATTGCACCTTATTTTGTTTGAGGATTTTTATAGTGGAGGAGGCTTTCAGTCAATTGAAGAAAGCTTTTGGTTGCAACTTATTTCGTGGCTTCAAGCTAGTTGGTGCCTCTTGTTCTGACATGCTTGTAGATACTGTGGCTGAGTTTTTTGGTTCTTTGGTTGTTTTTAATACAAATGCTAGTTACCTCTGTCTTGCAGTAACTAAATACTTGGCAGAAAAACTCCAGGAAGGAAAGCTTTATTTTGGCTAATGGTTTTGGAGAGATGTCAGTCGGGTCTGAAAGGGGAGGGATGGCAGCATTGTGTGCCATGGTTTTTCATGACTCTGTGGTCTAGTAAGCAGAGAGGGCAGGCTGGACTGTGGGCAGGTAGAATCTTTGAAGGCCTGCCTCAAGGACCTAAGGTAGTCCTTACACATAAAGACTCTATAGCCTTCAAAATGGTCAAAATGGGCAGCAAATAACCAAAACATGATCTCAACAGTGACAGTGGACAAGAAATGAGAAGCAGCCATGTTAAAAGTCATGTTAGTTTACGTCACAGTGTCTTACCATCACACCAAGAGCAAAGTCTCTGCATGAAGAGCAGAAAGTCCCTCTTTGGTTACAGAGCAAACTATCTCTTGTCGGCGTGGCTCTCACACCGTTATCCGCCGACGATGTTGCTATCTTTGTGTTAGCTCCGATTTTATAGGACAAAATCCAGTCTATCAGCTTTGGGGGCCAGGGGCACTGCACCCGACAGCTTAATGGATGGCGGTGTTGACAAATCACAAGACACACAGTCATCAGTCTCCTAAGTGGTGCCTGAGGCCCTTCTCCACACTTCCAGCTGTTTTCCCTGTGCCAGTGCCTCCACACAACAGGAGCCAAGTAATGGGCTTCCCTTTCCCATTAGAGAATCTTCCCCTTTCTTTCCATTTGGAATTTCTTAGCACATAATTTACTT